CAGAGACAGAGAGAGATAGAGAGTTCATTTATGCATTGATCCTATTAACATAGAGGGTTTCTTAGTTAGGATTTATATTGCTGTGACAAAACTCCATAACAAAAAAGTAAGTAGGGAAGAAAGGATTTATTTGGCTTGCACTTCCATATTGCTATTTGTTATTGAAGGAAGACAGGACAGGAACTCACACAGGGCAGGATCCTGGAGGAAGGAGCTGACGCAGAGGCCATGAAGGAGCACTGCTTACCGGCTTGCTCCACATGGCTGGCTCAGCCTGCCTTCTTATAGAACTCAGGACCATCTTCCCAGGGTTGGCACCACCCACCATGGGCTGGGCCCTTCCCGACTGATCACTAATTAAGAAAATGCCTTACATCTGGATCTCATGGAGGCATTTCTCAGTTGAGGCTCCTTCTTCTTTGAATACTCCAGCTTTTGTCAAGTTGACACAAAACCAGACAATACAGAGGGCCTTGTTTCTTGGTTGTCCTCTATCTCTGGCTTTTCACTCTATCTGCCTGCTCTCTGCATGGGTCCCTGAATGCTGAAGGGGGGGTGGGATTTAATTGAGACACCCCATTTAGGGCTGAATGTTCCAAGGTCTCCACTTTGCATACTGTCCAACTGAAGGTATCTGTATTTGTTCCCATCTTTCTGGGACCCATGGTTATTTTTAAAGAAAAAAAAGCCAATGCATACTAAATTCTAAATTTTCCTGGCACTTTAAGTCAAACAATGTCACATTTTATAGACTCACCAAGTCTTTTAAGGAAATGCTAGATTCACTAAACCAATTGAAAAAATAGTGTTCTCCTAGCATTGCCTTTCAAAGTCACTAAAGCAAGATGAAATTATGAGTTTTTCCTAAAGTGTAAAAGCATACTTTATCTAGCATATGAAAATCTTTGTTTCATGACCTTATTTTCCATAGACTCCAAAACAGTAGAAGGTGGGAGTAGTGATACTTGAGTTGACTCCTGAAGACGCAGAGTTGAGAAATCTAGAGGAATTTATATTACAAAGCAATATGATATTAACATCCTTTACTTTATAACTATAGTCGTACAATTTCAGGTTTTGCTATCAGAGTAATGAGAATAGTAACTAATACAATGAATGAATGAATGAATGAATGGGGAACAAATGATGAGCATCTTCTCATTTATTTCTCTTTCACAACACAAATTCTCCAACCTCAGTCTTTATTCTGGATTCTAAGTTTGGTTTTTCTCCACAAATAAATATCCAGACTGTTGATTCTGGATCAGGCTTTGTACTTAATTCATAGTTTGAGTCTATACTTAATTATAGTACTTTTTTCTGCCTTTTTTTGCGATGGAAAGGCTATTCGCATAGGATGCTTTTGAAAATTCTAGGTTATGTTATGTTAGGAGATCACTTGTTCTTGGATGCTTTTCAGAAAACAGACTAAACTCTACCAGTAATATCTGAAGACAGAGAAATGTACCACACCACTTGGGAAACCATACAAGGATCTACAAAGTTTCCTTTTTCTTCAGAACTGATCTTAAGCCCATCCATTGTCTATTTGAAGGCCTAGATATCACATTTAAAGTGTTTTCCTACCAAGCAATTTAGAGGTGAGTATGATGTATCATTTGAGGGCTAAATATTGAATGTTTCTATAATAAAAAGTACAGAGAGTTCCATTTATGTTTATCCTTTCATTGAAAATTACTACAACCTGGTCAAAAAATTCCTCTGTGTGGTAAGGGGCTATCTGCCAGTACATGAGTCTGCTGAAAGGGCCACACCAAATCCAGCATCAAGTAACCACCAACCGTGACCACAGCAGAGTGGTATGAAGAGGGCTGACAGCGGCGTGGTCACCACCCAGGCCAGAGAGGGAAATAGCAGGAGGTGTTAACGGAAAAAAACAACTTCGCTCCCTTTCCAATACGATGAGCAAAACCAAAGGGAGCTTGCCCTACTTAATTTCCAGCGGCAATTCACTTTTCACAATGAAAACATTTGCCAGGATGTCACCTTTGGGTCACTTTTCATATTTGTTTCTTAGAATAAATGCCTTTAGAAGCTTGTGTTTGCTTCATAATGATTGCTTGGTTTAAGAATTTTGCGTGGTGACTGCAAGGACCACGTTAGCTTCCTAGGACTGAGATGAGGATGTGCCACAAAATGAATGCTACTGCCAGGAGCAAAGTATTGTCTCACAGGTGTGGAGGTTCATGATGACTGGTTTCATGACAGCTTGGCACAAGTTAGAGTCATCTTGGAAGAGGGAACCTCAATTGAGATAATGGCCCACTAGATTGTTCTGTGGGCAAGGTTGTGGTATATTTTCTTGATTAGCGATTGATGTAGAAGGGCCCAGCCCATTTGTGAGTGATGCTGTCTCTGAGTAGGTGATCGTGAGAGTATATAGGAAAGCAAACTGAGCAAGCCATGAGGAGTAAACTGGTAATCGGCTCTCCTCCATGGCCTGTGCATCAGTTCCTGCTTCCAGGTTCCTGCCCTGACTTCCTTCAGTAATGGACTGTGCTGGGGAAGGAAAAGAGAAATAGACTTGTGGCGAACCCCTTGACCAGCAAGGAAGAACGACCACGAATCGAGGATTTTTCTTACATCACACTTTATTGGAGCCTCTTGGTTAAAGGGAGAGCAGAAAGTGAGAGAGAGAGCAAGAAACGAAAGAGAACAAGAAGAGAGAGAGAAAGCGAGAGAGAGCAAGAACCAAGTGGCATCTGCTTAAATAGGGTGAGGGGACTCGGGTACTGCCCTGATTGGTAAATACCAGTCGGCTGATGCCCGGAGCCTCGGGATTGGCCAGGGACAAGGCTCAATTGCGCATGTTCAGGCAAAGGGCGCTCAGCCCCACACAGCAATACCAAATAAGGACTTGATTACCTCCAAGCTGGAGGAACGCCGGTGCCATCTTATAATGGTGATTTCTCTAGACGGCTCCTTACATAGACTCTTCTCCAAATTGATTTTGGGTCATGTTTTATCATCTCAGTAGAAACCCTAAGCAAGGCTAGGAGTCCACGAAGACAATGAGAGAAGCTTTGGCTCCTATAAGGCGCTGTGAGGAAGAGCCTATTCTGTGACTCTTGCCTAAACCGAATTGGACAGTTGCCCATCTTTAGCTCTTTGTTTGTTCCCTGCCTTCTTCCTCATGTGGCATTTCCCCTTAGTGATTGTGCCTGTGCCCAAATCTCCCTTGCTTATAAAGCACTAGTGATAGTGGTCCTGGGCCCACCGGAATGATTTCAGCTTACCTAATCACATCGGCAGTAACCTGATTCCAAAGCGACATTCATATAAATGTAGGGGTATAACTCATCTTGAAATCGTCACCAAGTATTACATGATCATGCTTCAAACCTGGGTCTTTGCCTTATGACTCTCAGATCCAGGCATATAGGTTTAAAAATTTTAAGTCCTGGTGAAATGCCTTAGATATGTGCCACACCACTAACTGATCACTGCGACCGAGGACGGGAAAAGGACCATGAGAAAGAGGACTTTGTTAGAGCTCAATTTCTTTTTGAAGCCAAGGCTCCATATTTGCACAACCCGAGGTTGGTTCTAAAGTCCTTGGAATCCAAACAAGTCTTCATTTTCTAATGGAAATAAAGTCCAACCAAAAAAAACTTCCAAGAGAGATATGAGGAAACGGGAAGTCAGGAAACGGTCTCCATCATCATCTGGAGAAAGTTTTTAGGAAACGTGAAAGACTGAAACACCTCTGCTCCCAACTAGTTTTAACTTGATAGAGAACAGCTGCAAAGTACCGATAGTAGATAGACGTTAAAGGGAAATAAAGAAAACCATAAAAGGTGGTTTGTGAATGAACAGCAAATGTCCATTACAGATGCCTAGAAAGCATTGCATAGGAAATATACATCAGATCAATATCAAGGTAGGTTTGCTTTAATGAACATCCGACACAGGCGTGCCTGGTGCTCCTGAGCAGAACAAGAGGGTTGGGGAGGGCTTGGCCTCTGACCATGCTATGATCTTTATGGTTTTTGAGAATCTTTGTTTGGTAAGCCTCTCAAAATAGGGCAGTAAATTTATCTCATAATAGTGTAGGTATAAAGAAGAGCATACCATTAGGGTCTGAAGAGATGGCTTAGAAGTTAACAGTGCTTGCTGTTCTTGTAGTGGAATGTGATTTGGTCCCCAGCACCCGCACAGGGGCCCACAGTCTCCCATCCCTGGACTTCCAAGAGATCCACTGCCCTCTTCTGACCTCCACAAGCATGTGGTACATGCACATACATGTGCATTCATGCACATGGCCTGAAACAAATAAACCTCTTTAAAATATTAACATGCTGATAGTATATATTATTATATATTCTGACCTATAATTTCACCCTTTTCCATCTCATTTTTAAGAGCAGCTCACTTTTGTTGATTCCTAGGGGAATTTTGAACTTTTTTAGCACTGGGCTCCCTATACCTAACCAGAAGATGTTTCTGAAGAGATGGGTCAACCTTGGATTATATGCTATTCAAGGTCCTCCGGAGAGCAAGAGCCATTGGGATATATTTTAGGGACATAAGCATGAGAGGTTGATTAGTGAACTAGGGACCCAGGAGCCTGGCACAGTGCAAGTCTCAGAGAAGCAGGTTCTGTAACTCTGTGTAAGGCCCACATCTTGAGGACTTGGGAAGTTTACACTTTCAGTAGCAGAGTCCAAATGTCAGGGGGCCCAGCCTTCCACAGTCCACAAATAGGAAACAGACATGCGTGTACATCCTCTGCTTTTCTTCTTTCAGGCCCCTGTTCAATGCTTCCATCTGCCTTTGTTGAGGGCAGATCATTTTTATCAAGTCTGCTACCCGCAAGCTGTTCTCTTGAAACACCTCCACGGACACACCAAAATAGTGCTCCACAGGTCTCTACAGGTCTCCACAGGAAATCTTCATCTCAGCAAAGTTGACAAAATTTGTCCCCCCCCCCCCCCGACCCCAATGCATATATATAATATACATGGTTACACTCCGCGGAAGAGAGAACCCTCCCATCAGAACGACAAGACTTCAGGAAGAGACACGTGGGAAACCTATTACCTGAATGAGATAAATTAACCCCTTCTATGAAAACTGAAGTCTGAAGTCGGCCCTGTAGTGCGCAATTCCTTTAGCACAGGAGAAAGGAGAGAGTCCTCTATGGAGTTTGGCAGCCGCGTTCCGCACCCCTCGCTTGGCTTTGGCGCCCTGCTCGCACCTAGGCTGCTGTCTCCACTGTGTCTCTCCCAGCAGACAGGTAAAGTAAATCAGAAGGAAAGGTAGAGCAGATGCGATTGGGTTCATCATCAGGGAGAGAGCAAAGACGAGGAGGAACAACGGGTTAGAAGCACATTTCTCAGGACCCCTCTTGGCAGTTTAGCTGGGGGTGAGGGGTTGACAGGAACGAGGAACCGCGAATAAGCAGAGTAATGAAGCTGTTCTAAGCACTTGGCTACACAGTCGGCATTCATCGCCCTGTTTAACTCTGCGAACAATAGGTCTTCAAACGAGTCATCATTATTTTACAGGCGAAGAGAAGGGCACTGCATGGCAGGCTCCGGATTGAGGAAAGCCCCGTGAGTTCTCACGTCCAGGTAGGAGATTTCCCTGTGTCCAGATTGGCTCACCATTTTCATCAAGAAAATTTACAATATGGGCAGGAGGGTCACAAGGGGAAGTGAAACCAAAAAGATTTGTGGCATATTTTAACTCCCAGTGTCCGCCACCCTCCCCCCTGCCATGGTTTCCTTTTACTCACATTTTTGCTTGTCACTGTGACCCAAAAGTTCAGTGTTGCTGGCAACCCGGAACTAAGGGGTTTGTTGTTGTTGTTTTGAAGAAAAGATATTTAAATACAAAATGCAATCTAAATAAAAACTACGGTGCCATAGTTCAGTGCTGAAAAAAAAAATGCCTAAACACTTTGCCTGGTTTTACAAATTCAACTACGGGTAAAAAGAGTAAAGAAAAACACCTGACACGCACTGCACTCTGTTCTTCGTGATTCTACTTGTTTTTTAGATTTCAGGAAGCCAAGTGCTAGACAGGCTCCCCCGGATAGCATGATTAATTAGTTCCTAAGAAGAGAGTTGCTACATGGAGTTTGATTGCTTTTCCGTTTGGTTTTCTTTGCAAATGGCTCTACCCTCTCAAATAATTTCTTTCACGCTCTTGCTCTTCCTTTTTTTCAGAAGCATAAGTTCAGTGAGTCACCCTGGGTGAGAGGCAGTTGGCCAGTGTTCATCCATCATCATAAAACACAACAGACATTTTCCAGGTTAGGGGTGAAGCCCACTCAAGGGCCTTGTGAAGTCTGTCATACTCCTTGATCGCCACACACCTCACGATCCTTGTAAACACAGATCTCAACAGAGAAGAGCCACTAGTTAGCCTGTGAGATCGTCCCAGGATATGAAAATACCCCGGGAGAAGATGGAGGACTGTTCTATTGGAAAAGAGCATTCTCTTCGCTGACCATCACCCGATGCATCTCCCCTTCCCGTCTCCGACCCACCTTGCCACTGCTTCTCAGGAAGAGCTATCTGCCTAAGCCATGAAGAAGGCACATAGGTGCTGTATTCTGTGTCGCACACTGTACGTTATCTGTTCTACACTGCACATGTGCATCTCTGGGTGCCACACTTCAAATATGCACATGATATGTTACCATGGCTTCACCACATACCGCCAGCCACATCCCCTATTCTCATTTTTTTATCATCCCTGAAATACTGTTAGCTTTGCTCAGCCCCATTCCTTTCTTTTAGAGATATTTCAAAAGTATGCTTAACCGCCACACAACTGTGGCACTTTATCTTGTACTAGTTTAAAGGCATTTTAAAGAAATGATTGCCTGATAGAGCCAAGATTTCTTCTAAAGTAGGCATTAAATATATGAGATTACATGAAACATACGTGACGTGCGTGTTTGTTAATCATATCTCTATATAAGTGGCATCCATGCTAAAGCCATGTAGTGAGAGGAGTATTAACTACATAGCTGCTTGAAGTCTTTAATTTTTATCAATATAGACATAATCATACTTGGACCTCTACCTGCTGACTGCCTCGAGCCTGCCTGATCACTCTTATAACTTGAAGCCAGAGCTGGCTGCCCAAGCCTCCACTGGCAGGGATTCGATTATAAGTAGAATCATAGATATACGTTTAGGAAAGGTGTGGAACAGGAGAGTGGTAGCCACTCTTTGAAAAGTCAAAACTTGGTCAACCTTGGCCTGAGTTTGTCTTTTTGTTTTGATGCTGTTTGTTTTGAATACTGTTTTGACTCCGTTCTTAGCCTACAAACAATACAGGTAGACTCCCTTAAAACTCAAATGAACTAAAATTGTCTCCTAAGTATTTCATGAATTTACATTCACAATTTAATTTTTTTCTCTAAACCTTGGAGCATTATTGAAAGTAAATCTTTTGTTTACCAAAGGCAAACGTAAACTCCATCAAAGGTCAAATCATCACCCCTCCAAAGAGTTAAAGATGGCTGGCTTGAAAGGGGTTCTGTGTTGGATTGATAACACTCCACTCACTTTGTCAAATAGACTTGCTTGCTGTCCTTGTCACCCTCCTTAGCTCAACCTGCCTCTTGCCCTGTTGCACTTGGAAACAAGAATACATTGTTCAGAGACTTGAGTCCAGGGATCACATATTCCTTCAACATCTCTTCAACAATGAATCCCTTCAACCTCTTCCTTTAAAGTCATTTCCCTTTCAGTTTGGAGATGACAGCATCTGATCCAATAATTATTACTAAATATTTGCTTTATGTTTCATATACACATGAACATTAATTGACAAATATGTTTTGAAACAAAGAACTGGCCAGCTGCTTCGACAGATAAAGGCACTCATTGCCAAGACTGAAGTCCCAGGTTTGATCCCCAGGACCCACATGGTAGAGGGAGAGAACCAGTTTCCACAAGTCATCCTCTGACCTCCACACAGTCTGTGGAACTTGACATACACAAAATTAATAGAAAATTAATCAATTAATATCAAAATAACCTGAAAGATTGGAGATAAACTGCCTTTGTTACGCAAATCCCAACTTGAAAAAAGGCAAAGGAAAACGAAGCAGATAGGGGGTGCGCTTTCTCAGAGAGTAGAATCTCATCTCTCTGCAAAGCAGTTCTTGGGGAAAATTAGGAGTGATTCAGAGGTTTGGGGATGGCTCCTAATTTTCAGTTAGGTGTAATCTTTTTATTTTGGGCCTTAACATATAAGTCTCATGTTATTCTCACATCTAAATTAATAGCTATTTAGACATCTTACATTAATTTTCTTCAGTCATTTCTTATTCTAAGTTAACCTATTTAGTTGTGGTAATCCATTATTTCTTTGTGTTATTTTAGTTCAAGGTTATTCTTGGAGGGGGGTTGTTCATTTATTTGGGGTTTTGTTGTTACTGTTTGTTTATGTTTCCACTGAGCATTTCCTTTTTTAAAGGACTCTTTTTGTGAGTATCCAGGCAGGGAATGAGGATGGACAGAGGACAGAAGTCATACTCTTAGGCTGAGGATGTAGATGAGCAGCGAAGGAGTTGGCTAGTTCCATGTAGAAGGAAGAACCTAGGTTAAGTCCCTGGTACACACACACACACACACACACACACACACACACACACACACACACTGAAAACAGTTTATTTTATCCATATTTAAGATAATCACTCTCTGGGCAGTGTGATAGCATCTCATCTGTGATCTAGTCTACCCAAACAGGAATGGCATGTAGCTAACAAGAGTCAAATTCACTCAAAGAAGAATTTTGACATTGCTGAAATATGTAGAAAAGGTAGAGGTATTTTTTTTATAATATTTCTGCCACCAACATGGTACTGAAGAAACTCATTATTTTCCATCTGCTTTCTTCACACTTATTTTCAGTGTGAAGTAGAAATAAAGTTTTAAAACTCTTTCCCTGCTGCAAATAAAATATACTTCGTAAGAATCTGTGTCATGAAAATGAAGCAATTAAGAACAGTCTGACTGTGTGGATGCGGCCCCACCTCTCGGTAAAGCAACAATTCCAAGGCATGCAGACACGCCTGAGATCTATGAGGAGCGGGCATTCTGTATTGCAATGTGTGGAGTGACTTGACATTTCTATAAACAAACAAACAAGCTGTCATGAAATATACTTTGAAATTGCAAACAGAAGGGACGTTATGAGATGCGTGTGGGTATTGGGGATTCTGCAAAGCAAGGCTTGAGCAACTGATATGCTTTGAAGTGGAGAGATCTTTGGAAACGAAATCTACCAGAAGACCATCACCATTTGCTTCAAAGACTTGACATATCTGGAAATTCCTTTGGGTCTCTAAATTGGAATGACAAGTTTAAACTTGTTTTTTATTCAGAAAGAATGTGTAGGCAATTCTTTGATATTTTGTCAACATTGAAGGTTTTATGAAGAAAGTCATCTATTTAAAATGTTTATTTCAAAATGATACATTGAAGTTATTGTGCGTATGCTAATACACAGTATGCAGGAAATTATTCATTTCCAGTTAGTTCAATTTAGTTAATTAGACATTGATTCAGTGGTTCTCATGTGCTTGTTTCTGGGCTATGCATTGCTAGACAAACTAACAGTTTATGTGTTGACATATTTCTTCCTTTTGGGGAAAAATATTCAAGAAATTATTTGGTGTAGAAACTTTCTTTTAAGTTACTAAATAATAAGCCCTTAATTTCAAATTGGTTTTCATCAATTCTAAAATGTACTATTGAGCATACCAATGACAGTTAGGAAAATTTAGACTATCATAAAGGATAGAAGTAAGGAATTTGAAAGATTCATAATTATTTACAGTCAGAACATTGGTTGCAATTTGGCTGATAAAGAATTGTGTTGAAGTCTCTAGACTTCACAGTCTACTATGTGTTTGCTACAGGTGAGCTACCAGTAATGACCATTAGTCATGATTTTTATAAAGTCAGAGACAGGGCTCAGTAGCACAGCACCTGCCTAACATGTATAAGGTCCTTTGTTCAATCCCAAGCACTGAAAACCTTTACTTAAAAATCATACCTACATGTACTTGGACCTGTGTGTACCTCTGTACAATATTCATCTAGCATTATTTTTGTATAGAATTCAAATAAGATTAAGACATCGAAAATCAAATCCAAAAATCCCCAGAAAATTGCTTTTGCCAAATTGACTTGAAAAAGGTCAGTTACCAAACCTCATAAATAGTATTATGCCTTGTGTTATGCTTCATTAAGCAAATATTCCAAGGACTTGTCCATGTTGGATGTTGTTCATAGTGTGAAGAGACAAAAGAGAACGGCATAAATAAAGGGCCTCTTCCCTGAGAACTTTCATACACGCTGAATGTTTGACAATTTCATGAGCCTTTAGTTGGCATTTTCGCATTCTTATTGAAACCCCTGGCTCTCAGGTTTTATTAAGACCAGTATCAAAACTTAGTTATTCCTTCCACTATTTAGAACTGAGTAGAACCAGGACTTGGGAAAAGAATGTGCTGGAAGTCTATCCTGGGGTGACTTCCAAGCTCAAGGCTCCTTGGAGAACTTCTGTTGAGGCCAAAAGGCTCATCTGCTTGCAGCAGTGCATGAAGGGAGAAGATAGGCCCTTTTCCTTCCTCTCTGGTCAAAGAACAACTAGCGGAACCCCAAGTGTCACCGGTGTGCCCTAAAAGTCAACAGTGTTCATCCTTCAAAAATCAACATCTCTTACTTTCCAACCTTTCCGAAAAATTTAATGATCGGGTTTGGCCTTGCTGTGCCACATTCCATTCCAGAACCCCAGCGAAAATGTTCTCAAGGGCTGACCAGAGAGTCCTCCCACTTTCTCTGGACTGGTACAACTTGACCGCTACTTGACATCAAGGTCAACTGGAGACTGGGAACAGTTATGTAACTGCATTGTAAATTGAATTAGAGCTGTTCGTGAGCCCAGACCAGAGAATCAGGGCAGCTCCAGGCAAGAGAAGTGAGAGTCCCCTAGAGACAGCACAGCGCAAACAGCCTCCGGGTAGTTGGAAGTAATGCATCACAAAGAGAAAATGAGAAACAAAACCCACCTCTCCCCAGCTTCTCCAAAGCCTAGGTCAGCTGCTGACCTACCACATGTGGGGTGAAACGCGTGTAGGCATGAAATACAGAGTGTTGGTTTTGATAGACTAGACAGGAGATAAAGGGTAACATCCATAATACACAGAGAATGAGAAAAAATACTATTTTTAATTTTTGGCAATTTCATGAATTTATACAATGTATTATGATCCCAATCACCTAACTTATCCTCTCTTATATGCCTCTGAGCCCTGTTGATCCTCCTTCTTCCAATTGAGTTCCCCATCTTTTCTGTGCAGTTCTTAAGAGGGTGAGCACAGCTACCCAGTATGCAATAGCTGTGTCTTTGATGGTAGACAACATTTGACAGCCCTCCTTATCTTCCCGTGTTAGAGTCCCATAGCTTCCTCTTCCACAATGCTCTGTGGCCTTGGGGAATGTGACATAAATGTCCCAATCAGGACCGAGCCCTCCATAGTCACCTATTTGCGGTACTTGAACCAGTTTCGAGTGTCTGCATTCACTCTTTACCCATGGCACCAAGAAGCTCCCCTAACCAAGGCTGAGAGTAGCACTAACTTTAATCTATGGGTTAAGAAAAAATGCTTAAAAGGCAGTTTGACTATGTCCATTTAGCAGAGCATTCACCGTAAATAGCCCCCTATAGTCCATGACCTCTTCAAATACATGAATGTAAGCAGGTCAATACTACCAGGCATGTATTCCTCCCATGGAGCAGACCTCAAATTCAATCAGCAATCAATTGATTATCCCCCAAAACAGTCATACCACAATCGTACCAGTAAGCATATCCTGCCTGGCAGATATGTAGTGTGAAGTG